ATTTATCCGAAGAATTAAAGAAGACAAACATTGGAATGGGCATGTTAACAAACCGGATACAAAACATTATGGAAAAACACAACGAATTGTGGGAAGTTTATCAAATGGTCAACGAAACTTTTTATTGGTTGATTCCTTTGATTTATACTCATTTCCTTTATATTTCTTGTTTCTATACTTATGGAGCTATTTTTCGACACATGAATTTAAATGTAAGATTATTTATTGGATTCTTTGCTCTATTGTTCGTTTTTGGGCTCATTCTTGTGGCCTGGTTACGATCATGTGCTATGTTATCGGTGAGTATTTTTTGAAAAATATTATTATATAATACGTTATTGTAACCAAAAAGTAATACTTAATATGTAGCGTTTAAGCTATTTAACATTTCTTAGTAGTTTGTTAATACAGAAACCAAAATTAATAAAAAAACTTTTAATAAATATTTTACAATGCAATTAAACTTTTATAGTACTATTCGTAGAAATCAATATTCCCTGCTGTTAAATGTAACAGACTAAAAGTATGGCGAGCGGTTAAAAAGTGACCTCCAAAATTATTACATTTTTGGACTCAAAACACTTTGAAACGTCAAGAAATGCAGAATATTTCGGGTTTTTGTCTGTATGATAGTGTGTATGGGGGACACGATTTTCTTAACCCTCTTGCCACAAGGTGTGACAAGGCCGTGTCGTACGCGACTTTATCAGGACACGTGTCAGGACACGTATCAGGACACGTGTCAGGACACGTATCAGGACACGTGTCACAAGGCCGTGTCGTACGCGACTTTAGATTCTTTTTCCATCCACAAAAGGAACATTTTCATGGACTTGTTGATGTGGATGGATTTAGTGATAGTGCATCTTCGGGCATTTCTATTTCTAGGATGTTGCACATTTCTTCTATCAATGTTTTACTAATGTGGGGACATGTCATCCTGTTTTTATGTGTGGTGTAACCAATTAAAAAGAAAGTTTTTTCAAAAACTTAGCCCAACAGTTTTTGCTTCTATGTTCTTGTGGCATATTTAGCTTGTAGATTGCATAGGTATTTACTGCTGCTGCATTTAAAATGCTATAGAAGTATCGCATAGGACTGCGATTTGTCATTCTTTTGATAGATTTTGCATGATATAACTTATCAAAAACATCTATGTCCCTTTAATCACAATATAAAATTCAACTATGGCAGGTTTTCAGGTGATTTGGGCAATTTCGCCAGTGTAATGCACGGATAATATGAGGAGTACAGTTTATTTATCTTCGGACAGAAAGAAACACGTATCTTCAGATTTCATCATACAGAAATTTTGAAGAATTTTTATTACGACCATTGGAATTTTCCGTTACAGTTCTTGAACTGTTGTTATAACAATTCTTGACAAATTTCTTCGTCCGTAGTAAACCGTTGATATTCTGCTATAGTAATCTGCCAAACAACGGTAGATAATCAAAAAATAGCTCTTCAGGCTTTTCCTACATGATGAAAAAATATAACATATATCACAAGGGGGTGTCGTACACTACACCGGAGCAGAGTGCGCTCTAATAGTACCTAAATTATGAGAAAAATTGAAGATCGATGACTTATTTTTCCATGCCGCTGTCTTGAAAACTACTACCTGATAGGCTAATTTATGGTTACAGCCCCACAACCCTGGAGTTGTTTCCTGTGCAAAGGAAAAGAAACAAGACGTGTCGATCTTACACTGTCTTGTGGTAGGAGGGTTAATTCTTAAAATTTCGTCGGATGATATTAATTTTGTAAAAGTTAATTGAAGACACAGACAGTCCAAAAAATAAAAAATATAAAAAACTTTTTTGGTAGACACCATTTATTCACTTCACGTGTTCCAGAACAAAAACTTTTTGACGACTTGACCTTCTTTTTTAGGCTACTTGACCGTCAAGTTTACAAACTTTCTTTTAAAAACACAGAAAAATATCTAATTAAAATTATAAATTTCAACTTAGAGTTCATGGGTCTTACAGTCATCTTCATTTGATTAATGACACTTTGAATTACATAGCAATTGGTTTTTGCGACAAGCACGCCTATTTGTGGTACGTTTAGATTTGCAGTCACATTTTCTGAAACCCTGCCCAGTACCAAAGGATTGTTTTATTGCTGTTTGACGTAAAGATATTTCTACAGCAGGGACATCCATCTTTTTTCGTTAAAAATTTCTCTTTGCAAACATTGAATTCAGATTTTGCATACAATTGTTTTAAAATACCTGTTTTAGTATCAAGTTTATAAAAGCCATCCTCTGTCTTACTAAGAACCACAGCTAAAATTGAACGTGCATCAGTTTTTGCTCTGTCTTCTTCGGGTACTTTAATTCTCACAGCGAAACCTTCATCGACGTTTGGGTGCTTTGCATTAGAAACTGCTAACATTTTCTTTGCTTGCTTTTCTAAACATTTCTTGGCTTCATCACGCTGTATTTTCTGATCCATATTCTTTTTACAGATGATGCACAATACATTCTTACCATACCCTTCCTCTTTAGGATCTACTTCACCACAAACTGCTTGAACAAACATATTACACGATTTACACTTGTGACACTTGATGCTGCTTTTGAGCAAACAATACAGACTATGTCTTGTATAGTGCTCTTTACAGGCTCCGCACGAAACTGTGATGGCGATTCTGCTGAAGTTGAGAGTAACTCAGTGATAATTTTCTTCCACTTGCAGAGGCGATTCCTTGGAAATGCAGGGTAACTGAATATTCTTCGTCACTGTATCATCAATCAACGGTATAGAAGGCAGTTTAAAATTATTATCGATAAATTCTTGTATTTCTATAGGTAATTCTCTAGAAGCAGGGGATAACGGAATATCCTCTTGAGTAAGATTTGACTGTGATCTCATAATCACAGTCTCTTGTGAATCTTCTAATTTTTCAAGGTCTTCTTCAGTTTTTATCGAATGTCAAACA